CCCTCACAAAACCAATCAGGTTCATCATCTCTTTTCTACCAATGGGGAAACTGAGGCACAGAGCGGGCACGGGGGACTTGCTTGCAATCACCCAGTAGACTAGCGGCAGAGCCAGTGATAGAACCCACCCTGCATCCTAGTGTGGGGCTACATCTGCTTCTGAAAAGTGGGACACGCACCTGTCAGGGATGGTCCAGTTTTGCTTGATTCTGCCTCAGTGCGAGGGATTTGGCTCAGTGACTTCTCGAGGTCCCTTGCAGCCTGACATTTGTGTGAAACCACATTGCAATCTCTCAGAGCTCCTCTGCTCCTCCCAGTACGTTCCATAAGGCCATCCATCCCACTAGCAGCTCCTGTCCTGCTGCTGCCAACCTTTCGCCTCTTTACTCCCCTTCACCGAACTCTGGCTCAGCTACAAAGCAAAACGTGATGCATTGAGGTGCCAGGGCCGCTGAGTTTGCTCTGGCGACGCAGCCAGTCTCATGGGTGACACTTCACAATATTTCATCTAGGTTCATTGACGGAAGCCTCGTCGGTTACAACGATCACGTGACTGGGTGTCTTTCTGATTCATATAATCTATGGTGCAGGATTCGGTACTGTCACTTGGTGGCACTGCAGTTAAAAGATCTTTTAAACAATTGAATGTTTAAAATGGTCATGGATTTTTCATGGCAGGAGTTCTGGGGCAGCAGCTTGTCCTTCACATCCTAGCCAGTGCGTATCCTTTCCCCTTCCTCGCTATTCTTCTGAGCCTCACCTTGTCTTTTGCCAAATACTTTCATAGAATCATAGAACACTAGAACTGGAAGGGACCTTGAGAGGTCTCAAGTCCAGTCCCCTGCCCTCACGGCAGGACCTAGTACTGTCTAGACCATCCCTGATAGATGTCTGTCTAACCTGCTCTTAAATATCTCCAGTAATGGAGATTCCACAACCTCCCTAGGCAATTTATTCCAGTGCTTAACCACCCTGACAGTTAGGAAGTTTTTCCTAAGGTCCAACCTAAACCTCCCTTGCTGCAGTTTAAGCCCATTGCTTCTTCTCCTATCATCAGAGACCAAGGAGAACAATCTGTCTCCCTCCTCCTTGTGACACCCTTTTAGATACTTGAAAACTGCTCTCATGTCCCTCTCAGTCTTCTCCTTTCCAAACTAAACAAGCCCAATTCTTTCAGCCTTCCCTCATAGCTCATGTTCTTTAGACCCTTCATCATGTTGGTTGCTCTTCTCTGGACCTTCTCCAATTTCTCCACCTCTTTTTTGAAATGCGGTGCCCAGACCTGGACACAATACTCCAACTGAGGCCTCACCAGCGCAGAGTAGAGCGGAAGAATGACTTCTCGTGTCTTGCACACAACACACCTGTTAATGCAGCCCAGAATCATGTTGCTTTTTTTGCAACAGCATCACACTGCTGACTCCTATTTAGCTAGTGGTCCACTATGACCCCTAGACACCTTTCTGCCATACTCCTTTCTAGACAGTCACTTCCCATTCTGTATGTGACTCTTTCAGCCACAATTCAGTAAAGTATGCAGGCCCCAATTTGTAATGGTGTGTACGTTGCTGTGTAAGCATAGCAAAACCTAGCTGCTTGAAGAACCTAAAACCTTATTTGCTAAAGGATTTAAGCACTAAGGCATCTAAATCCCATTAACCATTGATGGGCTGTCCTGAGCACAGCTGCCCACATTTGACCACCTATAAAAATTGGAGCCATCAGCACTTGCTTATACCTCACTGACTCAGACGGCAGTTCTTTGCCGGAATAGGTGCGTCAGTGAACTTTTTGTCCTCTGATACCATGGCTGGTCTTTGCAAGAGAAAATCAGAATGAAACAGTGATTCACAGTGCCAATGTTCCCTCTAATCTTTTCCCTCTCTGTGGACTTTTTCCATCCATCTGCGAGATAAATTTTGTTATGTGCACTGAGGCATGTGTGAATGTGCACCACCAGTAGAAATAAAAAACCTAGCTGTGGGTGCTCTGCTAATCAGCTTAGGGGGAACAATGGTTCATACTGACTCATCTCAATCAAAATACTTTCTCGTGCCAAGTGATTTCCTGGGGAGTGTGGGAGAGAAATAATCTGTAGACAGGCAGAGGGGGAAATTGCTCTTCAAATCCTAGAATCCTAGAACTGGAAGGGACCTCAAGAGGTCATTGAGTCTTGTCCCCTACCCTCATGGCAGAGCCAAGCACCATCTAGACCATCCCTGATAGATGTCTGTCTATCCTGCTCTTTAAAATCTCCCAATGATGGAAATTCCACAACCTCCCCAAGCAATTTATTCCAGTGTTTAACCACCTTGACAGTTAGGAGATTTTTCCTAATGTCCAGCCTAAACCTCCCTTGCTGCAATTGAAGCCCATTACTGCTTGTCCTATTCTCAGAGACCAAGGAAAACAACCCCCCCCCCTTCTTGTAACACCCTTTCAGATACTTGAAAACCGCTATCATGTCCCCTTTCACCCTTCTATTTTCTAAACTAAACAAGACAATTCTTTCAGTCTTCCCTCCTAGCTCATGTTTTCTAGACCTTTCATCACGTTGGTTGCTCTTCTCTGGACCTTCTCCAATTTCTCCACATCTTTCTTGAAATGCAGTGCCCAGAACTGGACACAATACTCCAACTGAGACCTAATCAGCGCAGAGTAGAGCGGAAGAATGACTTCTCGTGTCGGGCTCACAAGACTCCTGTTAATGCAGCCCAGAATCATGTTGCCTTTTTTTGCAGCAGTGTCACACTGGTGACTCATGTTTACCTTGTCATCCACTATGACCCCTAAATCCCCGTCGACTCCTCAGCTGACGTGGAATGGCGTCTCAGCACTGCAGTCAGTGTGGGCACTATTTTGACTCTGGTCTCATCCATTTTGGGGGTTACCTGCAGATCTGCTAGTCCAGCCAATGCTACCTCTGCTACTAGAGTTCCCCTCAACAGTGCCTTTCCTTAATCTCCTGGTGACCTGCCCTGTAAAATCATGGATCCAAAGGCAAACTTCTCCCTCACTCAAGGCCATCTCTGTGTGTCGTGTCTGAGCAATGTGGGACTCTGGGTCCCATGTCCCTGGAGCTTCTGTTCCACAGCGAAACCAAATTTGTGACCAATTGGCATTGATGAGACTAGTTCTCTGAAGCCACATTCCCAGCCCCTCACCCCCGCGATATTCCTAAAAACAAACACGAAGAATGAAGTGAACTACGCCGTCCCCCTTCGGTGGCTCCTGTCACATTACCGCTTCCAGGAGTAAACCCCAGGGAAATACATGAAAGCAAGAAACCATTGTGTGAAATGGGCCCCTAGTGGGCAGAACAGATTAATGAGCTACAGAGCCAACGGTGGAAAGTGCGATTCCTGTCCCTCCCCGCGCCACAGGTTCTGTGCACAAACACGAGGGGCCTGGTGGAGGGAAAGACAGCCTGCTCCTCCATGCACCTTGCGGGGAGCGGCGGGCCCTCGACCTCGTGCAGGAGGGGGCTGGAGCTCTGCCACCCCAGCCTGAAACCCCGCTGCTGCACAAAGCAACGAACAGCCTCTCGGCGGGTCGCCTTTCAGAGCCATTGTCCTCGTGAGCGATCGTGACAGGGCAGAGAGCTGTAGGCAAGGAGGCTTGATGGATGGTGACGGCTGAGCCGCAGGAGGCTCTCTGCTTGGGACCCGCTCGACTAAACGCCCCCCAAAATTCACCCCCCCCTTCTTTGCAGAAGATTTTGGGTCTGTAAGCCAGGGTAGGCGAGAGGGAGAGAGAGATGGAGATTAGCTGTACTGCCTAGGGAAATCTGTTCAAGCCTGCCTTGTGTTGTGTTGTGAATATATATAGGGTGTGTGGATCTCTGCATTACTTCTCCCTTTCTTTTCAGCTCCTCCTAGCCCCTCTCCCTGCAACACACAGACACACACACCGTTGGCCGATGAAGGCCCAGCTGGGGAAGGCAAGCCATAGCTCCGCCCCTTCTGCCCAAGGCCCCGCCCCTCAAGCCCCGCCCCGCTCACCTTCAGCCCAATCCTTCCTGGCCACCAGGAGGGCCAGGGTTGCCATGCTGCAGCCCTAGCCCTGGCCTCCCCAGTGGGCACGGAAGCCAGGCCCCAGACCTCCCTAGCGGCCAGGCATGTAGGCAGTTTTGGGAAGGCTGTGCCTTACCTTGCCTATATTACCAGTCGCCCATGTGTGTACACACACACACACACACACACACACACCTCTGCAATACACACACGCACACACCCCTGCAATACACACACACACACACACACACCCCTGCAATACACACACACACACACACACACACCCTGCAATACCCTGTGTCTGAGGGGGAGGAAGGAGCCATTTTATAGAACAAATGATGAAATCCGTCCTGCCTCCCCCTCCAGCAAATCGGCTAACCAGCCAGACGGCAGACCCTGCACACGGAGGAAGGGAGGCTGGTCTGGTTGCCCAAGCGCTAGCCGGGGACTCCGGCGATCTAGGTTCACGTCCCACAAACTTTTCCTTTTCCTGCCACTGCAGGGCGGTGGCCAGTGGGGCACCTGGGGCCTACCTGTTCTCAGCCCTGCAGCTGCCACCCGTCGTGGTCGGGGCTCCTGTTGGCCGGTGGGTTGGTGTGCGGCTGGTGTTGCTCAGATTGGACAATCCAGTGCCCCCGTCTGGCCTTGAAATCTGTGACCCTTTGACTTCCTGTGTGACCTGGGCCGAGCCCCTGGGTCAGTCCTGGCCTCGGGCGGGGCGGGGTGAGGAGGAGACCTAGGACCTAGACACGCCTCTTTTGAACTCACCCCCTTGTCCCCCCTGCAGGTGAATCGCTGGACCATGAGGGCAGCCAGATTGGACAATCCAGTGCCCCCGTCTGGCCTTGAAATCTGTGACCCTTTGACTTCCTGTGTGACCTGGGCCGAGCCCCTGGGTCAGTCCTGGCCTCGGGCGGGGCGGGGTGAGGAGGAGACCTAGGACCTAGACACGCCTCTTTTGAACTCACCCCCTTGTCCCCCCTGCAGGTGAATCGCTGGACCATGAGGGCAGCATTCAGATTGCTTCTCCTCCTCCTCCTGGTGCTGATCTCTGAGGTGAACGGGCAGAGACGGAAGCCCGGGCGGAAGCCTGCCCGCCCGACGCCCGGCCGCCCGATGCCCGCCCCCCCGACGCCCGAGCCGGGTGAGGCA